TCACAAGCACATTTAACCAAAACCTGAACTGCCCTCTTTTGATTTCCCTGGCCTGGTTGCTCTCTTCCTTCTGCTTGACTAATATTAGGAAGCCCCTTTCTTGTCTATTTATCCAACACTCTGTGATTGAAACAGCCAGTCATAGCCATATCATAAGGGTTATTTTTTACTTGAGGAGATACCTGCCAACCATTGGACTAATTCTTCTCCAAGCTCACATTATCATGGCACCTTTCTTGCAATGCCTTTTTTTATTCGTTTCACCTTGCTTGGGCAAAATTGTGTGTATCTGTGTGTCTGTGTCTGTGGGTTGATAAGTCCATGGTAGCCTTGATTCATAAATATGGGGTTAAGACAGGTAAAGGTCCTCCTCAAGCACAAAGTCCAGAAGTGGTTTCCAAGTAGAAACAAAAGTGCTTACCGGTATGTTCTTTTATCAGCACAGTCAATTTGGCCATCTCTGCTAATTGCATCAGCTTTTGTAACTGTTCATCCATGGTAGGAATTGAGGTATCCTTCCACTTTTGTGCATAGAGCAGTCTTGCTGCCATCACCATATATAAAATCAGAGTTCCAATTTTTTTTCCAGTTCTCTTTCCATTAGACCCAGAAGGAAAGTTCACTTTAAGAATTTTTTGCATTAATATATGAATCCTACTCCAATATTTCTTTGCCTTATTACATGTCCACCATAAATGGTAAAAAGTCCCTTCTTTACATTTACATTTCCAACATTCATTCAAAATACCTTTATACATTCTAGATAACTTATCTGGTGTTAAATACCAGCGATGTATCATTTTGTAAAAATTTTCTTTTAGGCTATAATTTAATGTGAATTTTAAGACTTTTATCCACATATTCTCCCATTGTTCAAACATCACATTATTTGTGCTTGAGGTGGAAAAAAATGATTATTATGATTTTGGGTTTTACCAATTAGGCTGATTTGCTGATACAGAAATGGCTAGTGCATACTATTATAGAAATGTAAAAAGTTGAGATTTGATTTTAATGTCTGATTTTACTGCAACAGAGAGAGTTGGAAGTCAATGCCTTTTGCTTCTTCCCCTCCCCTTTTTCACACCTTTTTTGTTTTGTTTGTCCCCTACTATTTGCTTTTGTATTGTCACATTTTATGTTATAAATGAATAAAACTAATTTAAAAAGACAGCTAAAGGTCAAAATAAGATGAAATGAGATAATGAGCGCTCCATGGCACCGGACCTGGTTACCTTCGAGACCGCCTCCTGCCACAGATTACCCCCCACCGACCTGTACGCTCTCACAGAGTGGGTCTCCTCAGGGTACCGTTGGCCAGGCAGTGCCGGCTGGCGACCCCAAGGGGGAGGGCCTTCTCTGTGGGAGCTCCCACNGGGTTTTAATTACTTTTAATTGGACACTTTCAAATATTTCGTTTTAATTAAATTTTAATTAGGTGTAATATGTATTTATGTTAGCTTTTTATCATCTGTCAGCCGCCCTGAGTCCGAAAGGAGAAGGGCGGGATATAAATGCAATTAATAATAATAATAATAATAATAATAATAATAATAATAATAATAATAATAATAAGATAAATGAAGAATGCTGAGAATAATGCTTCTTATTCAAAAATAGAAAGAAAAAAATAGTATTTCATTAGTTCAGCGAGAATGACAAAGTGGTACTATATAGCAAAGAATAGAGAAAAGGGTTTTTTTTCCTGCTGGGTTTGCATACTCTGACATAGAACTAGGTAGTTAGTGTGAGTTTGCAAATCCCACCAGTGTGATTACTTTATGGCACAAGGTGCCACTACTAAGGCAATGATGAGATAAGCACAGGTTGAGTCCCTACTTCACACAACAATAAAGGAAGAAGGAGGGAAACACATCCAAAGTTGCCAGATTCTGATACTACAGGTATTCTTCAGGTTACAACTACTTGTTCAGCCATTGTTCAAACTTATGATGGTTCTGAATCGGGGGAAGGAGGGACTTATGACCAGTCCTTGGAGTTCTGCCCATCGCAGCATTGCTACATTCAGATGATCACTAACCATGTTTGGTGCCTTGCTGGCAATTACAACATTGCAGCAAACTGCAGTTATGTGAACAAGATTTCCCGTGTTCTTTGACAACTTCCCACAAGCAAAGTCAATGGTGAAGCTGACAGGAAACTGGAAGTCAATCATGTGAGATTCCTGCTTGATGACAGCAACCAGGAGTGCTGTCACTAAGCAACACAGCCACATGAACCATGTCACTTAATGACAGTAATTCCAGTCCTTACTGCTATTGTAGCCTTGCATAGAGTGGTTCCAATAAAAGTAGTTTCATATTTATATGGCTTTGGTTTCTTAGTCTGGCCTATTTTACAAGGCTAATTTTAACCATGGCTTGATATACTTTCTTTGATCATGGGCATACCATAATGCCATCAATATATTGTTCATACTGATTATATGAACTTCCACTGATCTAATTTTAAAGCCATTTAAATGACTGCCACCATATTTTGTAGCACCCAGCCCTTTTGTAATATTACCTTTCATGTAATCGCCAGGTTTAATATAGCCAAGTGCAATTGCTATTTCAGTTCCTTACTTAAACTTCTCCTCATAAATTATATGGCATCACTGCTTCATTCAACACTGAGTTTTTATTTTAAGTAAGTGTAATGTCCTGCCCTGAATACAATCATCTTCAGAGGTCATGGCTGCAGATGAACTATTCCTAGAGTAGTGCAGATTGAATTCCGAATTGTCTTTTTCTTTTAGTTCTAAAGTGAGTTTATCCATTTCGGCACATTCATATATCTGCCGCAGTTAATATGTGTAGAATCAAATATCTTATTTTCTTGTCAAATTTCTTTTTAAGTATTCCCAGGAGAAATGTTTCCGGGTTTAGTTCTATTTGGCATTTTGTTAGCTCGTG